TATATATATATATCAGATCTCTTAACAATGAGATCTGATATAAAGTCAAATAAATTTCAGCCAGGACCACCACCCCACCCAGCCTTTTCTTCTTGGCTACAGATAATGATGCGGGAGGCGGGCTGTCATCTGTCTGGGATGAGCTACGCTGATCCCGGGATTTCGGAAAAATAGCCTCGAGGTATAACCTCAAGAAAATGACTGTTGCTTTCTCTCACCAGAGGATTTCAAAGGCAGTGCATGTGCATGTGTGTCTCAGTACTTACAACACACGAGGCTGTGCTTAACGAACATCCAGGCTTTGAAATCACAGCTGCACTGTTTACTCCCCTGTCTTGCCCGACACATCAATTATTAAAGAATCAATCGATCATATCGTAGGATAACATCAAGCTATGTCTTCATGGGAAAATAATCATGTTTAGATTAGCCTTATCTGCCATCAATCACTCTTAATGCCATATCATATTAAATATACCAGCCTGGTTCAAATGACCAAAAACGACGTTACTTCTGAGCGTTTTTCTTTTCCATCTTTTAGTTTGCATCGTGCTAACAGGAGGACCCGACTGTGACATTTTAACTGAAACCCCGGTTGTCTTTGTGCTGGAGATGGACAGTATACAGGGCTGTGGGGTTGACGCGGTTGTGGATTGTAATATTGATCGAAAGGTGGAAGCTGCTGGGAGGAATAATGGCGTTTAGGGCCTCCGTGAATGCTATCAAGTTGACAACAATATACGGCCCAAAAATACAGTCCAAAACCCGCTGTCCATTGTTCTGCAGGGAGTGCTTCAGTACCCTGGACAGCGCCATAAGGCGCTGCTCCGCTGCAGTGCATGTGGATGAAGTTGTTTTCATAAAGGAATTCCACTCATCCATCTTTACATCCATCCATCCATCCCTCTACCGTCTGAATCCTCACGATCACGACTGGTGTTGGAGAAAATCCCAGCAGTCATCGGGTGACGTCATGCACACACACACGCACACACACACACATAGAGAGAGAAGAACATACACCTCTAAAAACATTTTCCCCCTGTAAGATTAGAATGGCAGCCAAACGTAAGTGTGGAGTAGCTACAACAGCAGAGTCAAACCAATAATCAAATAAACCTGATATCTTTCCCACTACACCTCTGTTATATAGACGAGGGAATTGAATGTAGCAGTGACTGTCAGAAATAGTCCCAGAAGTGAAACAAGTGACCAGGTAAATATTCAGAGGAGGCCGGTTCCTGCTGGATATGAAGAACGTAATGGGCAGAGGAAACGGCGCCGTGTGTGTGTGGTTTTGGGGGGGGGGGCGTTTGAGTTGAGTATATTTCTCTAAGGTCGCCCCCCTCCACCCCCCACCCTCCCTCTCCTTCTCAGCAGTGTTTGTCCTGTGGGTCCTGTGGGTCCTGACCTGTACTCCCTGGCACGTGGCCTGGCCATTCACATGGTAATGAACCAACTGCGCTTTTTGGTGGGCGAGGGACCGTGTCATGTCATTACATGTCCTGGCACACTCACTGTGGAATGAATTGGGCCATTATTAGGAGGTTTGATCCCGCAGTAGGGAGGATGATCCCATGTTACACGCTGCAGGGTTTAAAGTATGAAGTATTACAGTATCTACAGTATATTAGTATCCGTGGTGACGTGTATTTGTGTGGGGATACATGTTAGTTGATGCAAACGGTTGACTGATTGACCCAGTGAGAGTGAGAGTGCATCAAACATTACAAACAGAACGTGATTACAGCAAAGAATTGGCCGTGATGTGCAGCAGCACTTCTTTCTTTCTTTCTTTCGTCCCTCTTTTAAAACAGCTGTCCTCTTTCTCCCCCTCCTTCCCGGCCCCGCCTCCCCCCTTCCCTGCTCCGGGGGAGAGACCAATGGGAGAGAGTGCTGAGGCGGGATAATTGATAGATGCACTGGCTATCCTTATTGATCAGGGCTGTATTGACCCGACCAAATACATTGAGATGGAGTGTGGAATTCAACACAGATGCAAAGACGAATTGTTTTCATCGTTAATACGATCTTTAAATGCCTCCCAAACCTCGCGTTGGCCGAGTCTTTACTTGAGCTGCTTTACAATGAAGGTGGTCGTTTATTTAACACCGTGCTCGACCAATAGGTGTTTAACTGCTGCAAATGTGTATTAAATGCAACCTCTGGGTCTTGCTGTGCTAAGGTTCTTTCTCGTTCCCTCGACCTGGTGATGTATTAAGTGGCTTTCTTGTCACGTCTGCTGTATCTGTTCACAGAGACCCCCCTCTTTACCTCCGGGTAAA